CGTTGACAAAAAGTTGAAGATGTCGAGGTCGATGTCGTTACTGTGAACGACAGAACAATTACATAAATGTATTGTCAACAACAGCACAATTACGTTAATGTACTGTCATCGACAGTATAATTACGTTAATTTACTCTCAGTGACAACACAATAACGGTCAACTTTTAGCGGCGGACGTAACAAAAAAAAAACACTAAAAAAAATCAACGCCGGAATCCGGCGGCGGAAAAAAACAAACCGGAAAATGAAAATAAAAAAAACTAAAAATTCTAAAAGTCAACGCCGGAATCCGGCGGCTAAAAAATATTTTTTTGAAAAAAAAAGTGTTTTTGAAAAAAAAAAGTCAAAATTGATTTTTTGTGGTCAAAATTGATTAAATTGGGGTTACAATTAAGAATTGAGTATAAATGGTTAGGGGTAATTTTGTCATATGCATGAATGTTTCCTTTATTTATAATAAATATTAAATGGATGGGCTTTGATGAAAGAAATATAGCCCGTAAACCTAGAATAATAAAGATACTTGGTTAGGGACCTATGCACAAAACCCCTTAAATTTTTACATCCTTCTCATGTGATCATTTATTTTTGTTGTACAAATATAGTCATTCATTAAATATAGTTATTCACCATATATATATATATATATATATATATATATATATATATATATATATATATATGGTTAATGGCAAAGAGGTCACAATGGCATCTATATAATATATAAAAGTTGAATTCCACACCTAATTGATTGACATTTGTCAATTTCAATTGGTGACATGTATTCAATTTCATCCCATGTGGCAAATTGATTGGTGAAAATAAATCATCAAAAAACATGTCACCATTTTCAAAAATTAAAAAGATATTTAATTATTTTATTAAATATTTATATCATACCATTTATAAAATGTTCTAAATATATCAATTTACTTGGAAAATCTAAATAGTTTTATTTTTTAAATTAATTTTAATAGTAATTAATTTATTTTTAATTTATTTAAATTCAATTTAAAATCTTCACTTATTATAATTGTATGATTGATGGTGTTACGGAAATTTTGTATGTTAATTCATAAACTTGGATTTATATAAAAAAAAAATATTGCATAATAAATCATTTGATATTATACATTTTACATGAACATGACTAGAGAATATGTTTATCTTTCTTCCTAATTTAATATTATATTCGTAATTACCAAAATTTCCCTGATGTTTGTTTTCGTCTTACATCGACCCCCTTACGGTATGACTTTTCACGGAATTATTTTTATTATGTGGAATATTTCCCGAAAAATGCAGATTCTACCCTGCACACAACATTTGTTTATGGTACTATTTAAAAACAAAAATTGCCCTAATTAAATATAAATTTCTAATATATTTAATATGTGTTTCTTGATGTTTCAGGTACCACACATAAGGAATTTGATATAAAAGTTGCGAGATTGAATAGAATTTTTTAGATACAAAATAATAGATAATTGCAAAAACATTGATGCAAAATCATAATTAGGATTGTGTAATTAGGATTGTGATTAGTATTAGTAGTAGAATTAGGATTATAATTAATATTTTTTGAATTAGTATTAGTATTATTACTACGATTAGGATTCGAATTAATATAGTATTATAATTAATATTAGGATTATGATTATGATTAATGTTAGTATTAGAATTATAAATAAGATTATGATTATTGATTCGTACTACAATTAGTGACATGTATTAGTATTATGATTATGATTAGCATTAGGATTAGGATTATGGTAAGGTTGTAAAAAACGGTAATTGTGTCGGAGGCGGTCAGGGACCGACTAACAATTTATCGGTGCGGCGGTGATTAATCGGTGATAAATCGGAAATAAATCGGTTTTTAAAATTTAATATAATATATTTTTAGATATTATTTATAAATACTCAAAACATATATAAAAAGATATTTAAACATAGTTATATCTCCATCATGTATATATCTTAATAAAATAATAAAAGTTTAATAATAATAAGATTAATACATAAATATCCTTATAAAATAATAAAATATAATTTTTTTTAATTTACATTTATTCTTAACATTCCTAACATATATAATTAGTTCTTTAACAATAACGATTAACATAAACAAAATAAAACATAAGCTCATATTTTGTTTATTAAAATCCCAACTTTTATTTTGAAATATATGTATAAAACAAAGTAAAAAAAAAAACGATTTTTGACCAATTTTTGGCCGATTTTTGCCACCGAAGTTTGACCCGCCATAAAGGTTTGACCGCCTCAGACCGCATCGGACCGCCTAAAACCGCCTCACAGGCAAAAAAACCAATTTTTCAAACCTTTACACTAAAATCGTAAAGGTTTTTTACCGCCTCCACCTCGGAGACCGATTAATCAGCCGCCTCGGCCGATTTTTAGAACACTGACATTAGCATAGCATTAGTATTATTAGTAATAAAATTATTAGGATTATAATTAATGTTAGAAATAGGTTTATGGTTAGAATTATGATTATGATTAGAATTATGATTAATGTTATGATTAGGATTAGGAATAGGATAAGGATTTGGATAATATTAATATTACAATTATAATCAGCATCAACATATCCAGATTAACATTAACATTAACATTAAAATTAGTATTAGCATTAGAATATGTACATCAACATTAACATTAACAATATTAACATATTAGTATTAGTAATAGAATTAATATTAGTATTAGTATTAGTATTAATATTAGGATTAGTAATAGTATTAGTAATAGTACTATTAGTATTAATATTAGTGTTAATATTAGTTTTATTATTAGTATTAAATTTAATATTAATATTAATATTAGTCTAAATATCAGTATCATTATCAATATCAATATCGGTATC